GAGGCCGCGCTGGAGCCGGCCGGCCAGCACTCTGGGCAGGCGCTGCTGGCTGCCTTCACTTGCTTTCTGGCTTATCCCGTCTTTGAAATAATGATAAATCAGATGTCCAGAGAGACTTAGTTTTGCTTATTTTTATCTTCATAAATCTTTTTCATCAGCAGCAAATGCATGTCCTAGTCCTAAAGATAAATTAACTTTTTTCTCCCCTCTGTGGAATTTGTTCAGTGTGCATGACTCTGATGATCCCTCCCTTTTTGGGCTGTAGGAATATATTTACCTTGGGATTCTGTCCCTGCAGCATCTCAGAGGTCTCAAAGGCAGCACTCTTGTGCCAGGGTAATCCTCTGAGAGTGGCCTTGAATCAAACCTTCAAGAAAACATCATCGTGGCCTGAGGAGGGTGAAGAGCTGCCTCTTCTCTAGCGATGGCTGCTCATCAGGAGCAGCGTGTGACTCTAAAACCTCCCTCTTCATTTGGAGCTTTTTAGGTACAAGGCTAGTGGGTGGTTTAACCATAATCTGCAGACTGATACTGTGTGCAATTTGCCTCACTCCTGAGTTAATAAAACCAGCAGTTCTTCTATGCAGCTGCCTAGTGGATTGGTATTTATTTCTTTACTGCCTGGCTTACTTGGAGCAAGGAATATTGAGCTGCTGCGTTACTGCTGCTGAAATGGAGTTTTGTGGTGAATGGAGCCTGTTTTATTCTTTTGTTGTGGGTTAGCACCTGGAGTTGGAGATGACCTTGTTTCTGGCTTTGAGAATCCTCCATTGGGCCTTTGCTGTGTTCCTACTCTGCAAGGAGAGAGGCATCACGTGAATTCCCAAGCTACAGACGTAAGTGTTTTTACTGTATGTGGTGTTGAGAAAAGCTGTAAAAGCCCTCCCTGAACCTTGGTGCCGAAGCTCTCCTACAACCTGCCCTGTGTACCTTTTGGGGCAGAGCAGGGAGGGGGATGAGCCTCTGCGTGTGCTGCTCAGCTGAGACGTGTCTGCTAAAGGCGTGGAGGGGTCTGATTGCTGGCCAAGGTGCCTCCAGGCACCCTGTGTGAAGCCCCATTTCTGTGTTGCTCTGAAGTTTTGCTTGCCTCATAACTCCCTTTGTCTCCTGTGCAGCTGAGTTTTGCCTTGATTTGAACTGCTAGTAATCTAATGATTCATGTATCTGAGATCAAGTTCTTTTGATGCTGGTAATGAATGTGGGAAGATGGGCTTTTAATTCACTCTCAATTCCAGGGAATATTGAGTTCAGTCTGCACTTAGACTGAAAAAATAAAGCTGCTGCTGCTGTTCCTGGAGATGCAGAGAGGCAGCTTCTCCCTGTTTGACACCGTGCATGTCTCGGGCCCGAGGCGGTTTGCTGGCATGATGATGATGACTTTTTTGCCGTTTACCCAACTGAGGTTTTTTGATGAGTAACTTTTATCTGAAGTGCCAGCTAATTAATAATTTCCCTCCCCCCTGCTGGTTTAATGCACTGCCATTGTTCCTGATTTTATTTTCCCCTTTACAGGTGATATAACCTCAGGTGACTGTCTCTGCTGTCTCCACCTCCAGAAGCCTGGCTGTTCAGGCAGGTGAGTGTTGAGGTTTCCCAGCTGAAGGCCTGGCTTGTTACCCAAGGGGTGGGTAGGTGTGTGCGTGTTGTTTTGTTTTGTTTTTTTTGGTTTTTTTTTTAACAGTATTGTTACAAATTTTGAAACTTTGGATTAAAACAAACAGAAGCTGGGGGTGATAA